CAGTTCAGCTTCGCGCCGCTCGCGGCCGCGAAAATCGCGACGACCGGCGCGATTAGAATCGTGCCTTCTTCCGTGAAGTGACCGCGGACGCCTAGACGAATGCCTAGTTTTGTGATGTGGGACAGAGGGGGAGGGGCGGGGCGGGGGGGGGGGGGGGCGTCGAGAAAAATATCGCTCGCGGGAGAGCGAAGCGAGGAATAAGCTTCAGAGACAGCGACGTATTAAACGCCCAAGTTTTCTCCGGCTTCACGGGAATTCCGGAGGAGGAGGGGGAGGGAGGACGGGACTCGACGGGACGCAGCCGTCGGCGGTATTTTTCGAAAATGGAATTCGCAATTCCGCGCGATCGTCGCGCGGCGCCGATGGTTCGTCGGACAAAAAATTGCGGACACCGCATCCGTCTCGGAGGGGTGTGACGAAGCGAAGGGGGGAGAGAGAGAGAGGTAGAGGGAGTCAGAATGTTTATTAATATCTTACGAACACGAGATATGCATTTCGCGATATGGCGTCGCCAAAGTAATGAGTACAACGACCGTTACGCTCTGTTTTGGGCACGGCCACCGCTAATTACGAATGCTCGTTCCATTGTGTGTTTCATTAGCATCAACCGCAACGTTTTATTACTGCTTGTGTGCGCTTAAGTATTTCGCAATTTACCTCTCTCGTCGAAAGTTTTAATTAATAAAACATTATGCCCGAGATTGCGGGCGCGCGTGTGTGTGCGTGTGCGCGCGCGCGCAACGCCCGCGTTAGATAAACGGCAAGTCTCGGCGATCCGCGGCAACGCGAATTTCCGATTAAATCGCGGTAGCTTCTTACATCGACGCAGCGCGGTTACGCGCGTCCAAACTCGTGTCGGCCTGCGCGCGCGCGCGTGCGCGCACGCGCAAAATTGACGCCACGCGCGGAAGAAAGGCGATTTTCCTCCCTAAGCCGATCCCGCTCGAAACGCCTAACCGTCCGTCATTCTTCCGCCTTGTCGTCGCATCGCGCGCCCCTCTCCTGCCGCTGCATTTTTCATACACTCTTCTTTCCCGCAATCGCGACATATTATATGCGAGCGCAAAGCGGACGAGAGAGTTCGCCGAGGCCCGAAAAAAATTAAAATACGTGAATAAAAGGCGCCCATTGACGAGCAGCTTCGCGTTCATTAACGTCGCTGCGTTTCCTCGGCGCGTCCTCCTGGGCGAATCGCCGGCGACCGCCGATAACGCGAACAACGCGATGGAGAATTGTCGAGACGTTGAAAACGAACGCGACTCCGTGACGTGTGAAATTCGCACGAGCCGGAAGATCGGCCGAATTACGCGCGCGCGTCGAGAAAAAGTCCGATTCAATCAGCGATGGCGATGAGAGCGAGCCGAGCGCGTTTTGCGCGAGGCAAACAGAATTTCGCCGGGCAAAATTCGCCGGCAAGGATCGGACATTTCGTCCGCTCCGACCAAAGCGCGCTTTGCTCGCTCATACATATCGCCGGCTCAATTCCGCGCGCGTGTGGCCGTAAGGATGGCGGCCCGCAATTTTCCCCGCGAATTTCAGGACGCGTGTTTTGCCGGATTTTGCCGGGCAGGAGAGCTCCGTCGAAAAAGAGACCGTCCCATTCGCCGGGTCACATCCTGAGGCGAAGAAGTCGCGAGGAGGAATCCTCACAAGAAGCCGATACAGCGCGGCCGTTTACTCCCTCAATTTACGCGTACGGCCGCGTTCGCGCCGATCGACCCGGCGACGGACGACGTCGATGTCGTCGGCGACGACTACACGACGCAACTGTGTGCACGCGCACCACCCCGGCCGGCGTATGCATGCTCGAGTGCACGCAGGCAGGCAGGCAGGCAGGCAGGCAGGCAGGCACGCACTCACGCACGCACATACGAGCGTGGAAACGGTGAAGCAGGGCGGGAGGGCCGGAGAGGGATGAAGATAGAGAGGCGAACGTACCGTACGATCTCTCGCCTCCGTAAGCGCTTCTGTCAACTGTACGTCGCAGCCGCATTGCTCGCGCGCTGCAGTCAGCCTCCCCCCCCTCCCCCTCGCCCCTCGGCCGTCGTAGCTGCAGTCGCAGCCACGGCGCGATTGTGTGTTCCGCGGTGCATGCCGTTTGTCACCATTCAAGACGCTGACGCCGAATGCCGAGCGAGTTTCGCCGCGAGTCGACGGCGGAGAGGATTCCCCGGCGAGGTCTCTCCGGGGCGGCGCGCGCGCGCGCGCGCGCGGCCGCGGGGAGGCCGGGCGCGTTTGCGGAAGACGCCGTAGCGCGCGCGGCGCTGCAGGGTGCGGCGGCGGCGGCGGCGGCGGCGGCGGCGGCAGCGGTGTGTGGCGGTCGTGCAAATTTTAAACGACGTTATGTACGCAGTCGCACGGAGGAATTGCAACGCGGCCGGCCGTTTTAACAGTCGCGTTATTATGAATATGTAAAACGTCCTACGTGCGACCTACTTGTCCCGCCCGCCGCGCCGGGGGCAGTCAGCCACGCATGCGAGTCGCGTTCGATGAAAACAGCCCAAGTTTTACGACCGCCGCGACGCGTGTGTTTTTCTATATATCGTGTGTGTGTGTGTGTGTGTGTGTGTGATGCGCGGCCGCGCTTTTAATCTCGTTCCCGCCGGATATTTCTCGCTGCCGCGCGCTCCTCGAGTCCGCCGGATCCGCGGCGCGTATCGCCGATAAGAAGCGGACGAAGCGGAGGGGGAGGGGGCGGGCGGGGAGGTAATCAATTTGGGACTTTTTCGAAAAAAGAATGGAAGGGTGAGGAGACCTTTGAAGAGCAGTAACAGTTGGTTCTTTGTCCCGGGGATGTACACACGCGAGCTCGGGCGAAACAAAGGATATGGCCGAATCCAATAGAAGTCCTCCTGTCCACAGAGCGCGCGCGCGCAGGGGGGGGCGGAACGGGGGAAGGAGGGGAGGCGATTACGCTGTACCTTGCGCGGAATCAACAAGATTATCCAGCAGCGAAATCGGACCATCTGCGCATTGTCCGGGTCTGCGATCAACGAGCGTGCACGATGAGGATACCGCAGCCGGAGGGCTAGCCTCTCCACTCCCCCCCCCGCCCCTCGCGATGTTCATGATAATCCGGTCGGCGCGATGCAAAGACGACGCCGCTCTTTTCGAGCCTCCCGCGAGTCGCGAACTCGTTCCTCGATAATGCCGCGAAACCGAAACCGCCGCCGCCGTCTCGTCAGGGGAGAAGTTCCCGGCGAGACAAGTGTGCGTGCACGCACGCACGCACGCACGCACGCAAGTACGCACACGGAGAACACGCGTATACGTATACGCGGGAGAACTTCGGTCGGACGGTCTAAACGCGCGTTTAATAATTAAAAGCCGCCCGCGTTCGATCGATCGCGCTTGCTAATCGTGCCGCGAGCGACGACCTGATTTGCATTCCACCCCTTCTCTCGCCGTTGCCGTTCCGTTCTCGCAGGCCGGCCGCGAACAATGCTCTCTCGCAACAAGTGTGCGTCTGTGTCTAAAAAATCCGATTACCGACCCCCCCCGCGCTACGCAAAATGCGCTCCGCTCGCTCGCTTCGATCGCCTCGCTCGCCGCCGTCGCGTCGTCGCGTCGTCGTCGTCGTCGTCGTCGTCGTCGTCGTCGTCGTCGTCGCTCACCGTCACGAGCTGAAATTTTCAGACCGCTCGGCCCGCGGGCGCGGATCGGCCGTAACCGAATCTCGGGGACTCCCGCTGGCCGCTTCTCGGCCGCTCTCGCGGGTATATCCGTGCCTCCCGGGCCTCATCGATATTCTATTAATATTTCAATATTCCGTGCCAGCTGCTTCAGACACGAGACAATATCCGCGGCAAGTATGCATCTGTCGGCCGCGTGATGCAGTGGGCTCCGCGCCCCGCGCGAGAACGCTCGTGGCGGGAACACGTCCGTCATGTACAATAACGTAAGATGGCCCGGCGCGGCACGTTTCCGCCGATCGTGTTACGCGCCGCTCGAAAGTGCGCTCTGATTTCGCCGACGATTGCGCCGACACGTTGTCCGCCGCGCGCCATCGATCGATCGCACCGACTCGACCGAGACGATGCGAGTTTTCCCCCTTGCCGCCCCTAGTGCGCTCGCTCTCTTTCTCCCTCTCTCTCTCTCTCTCTCTCTCTCTCTCTCTCTCTCTCTCTCTCTCTCTCTCTCTCTCTCTCTCTTTCCGCATTGCGCGTCCTTTTTTCGCGACGCGCAAACGAGAGATCGACGTGACTTCGGTAACGGAGTCCTCTATATATCGACGGGCGTGCATAATGCAGGGGAGAATCTGCCCGAGAATACGCGTGTATAGCCATTTCCAGTTTTACCGGCGCAGGGCGCCATTGTTAGAGCCGGGTTTTGTTAGATTTTGCGGCATTGTGCGCTTTTTTCGCGCAAATGGAAATCAGTACGACTTCGAAATGGATTTCCGCGTGCAGAGGCGAGCGCGCGGCGAAAGACGCCGAGAAATTTCCTCGGCAGGAAGAGAGCGGGCGGGGAGAGAGGAGGGGGTGGGGTGATGGGAGGGGGCGTACGCGCAGCTTTCTTCGTTCTCAGATCGACAAGCGATACACGTTTTTCCGCCTCGCGCCGGCGGAAATCGGCGCATCTGCGAGGCAGAATCCGCGATGTGTCGGCGAGCGCGCGTGTCAGAACGTGTGGGAAATAATTTCCTCGGAAATCAGGTGGCCGACTTGTCGTCCTCTCTTCGAGAGACAGCGATCATCACATCGACGGATGGCATTTCGTATAATTTCGTCGCGCTCATCTCACCGATAGCTTTGCGCGCTGGGGGGCGAGAAAGGGCGCGCGCGATCAAAACGCTCTAAAATTGAAGAGCCAATCGCGATGCGCGCGAGCTTAACTCGTTGCAACAATGACAATCGATCCAATTAAAACTTAAGTACGATTCTAATTCCGAGTTGAAGCGACGTAATTAAAGTTTATGCATTATGCCCGGCATTCTCGCTGCTCATAACGTGCAGCATGCAAATTGCACGTTCGCCATTACACTCTATTATTATAAATACCTGCTTCCCAGCGCACCAATTTGCACCGTGAATTCGATTCGCCGGACGTAGCCTTCTTCTCCGACACCGGCTCCACTACACTGAAATCAGACAACACGTAACACCGATTAACGCTCGGTCGACATTAACACGTCGCCGTTACGACGGCAAAGTAACGTCAATTTCATTCCCGACGCGACTCATCCTCGCGGGAACTTTCCCGATTCTTTATCGCGCCCGCTCTCGTTTGATAAATTTTCAATAAATTTCTCGACAATACACACACACACACACACACACACACACACATACGTCCGCGATGACAAGCGCGCGAAACGAGCGTGTCATCAAGAAGCGCAAGGAACAAAATCGGCGATTTCCGTTCGACTTGGACGAGCGCATCTAAGCGGCGAACTTAATTTTTTCGTCAAAATGACAACGTCGAACCTCTCCTAAGCTAGCAGGATCAAATCGGCAAAATAAAACCGGATCTTCTCGATTATTTAGTACTTACTCTGTACTAATTTATACCACCAACAAACATTTTTGGTTGGTGGCACAACTTGTGATAATGTTTAAAAAAAATTAATAAAATAAAATATAACTGTGTTTGAGGTAGGGGCGCGAAAACTACATGTCTACTGTATGTTGTGTAAAAATTTTAAGTTATTCGGTTCAGTAGTTTTTGCGTAATCGTAGTTTAAGAAAATGGTGGGGGTTCCAGATAAACGCGTTTAAAGTGTTTTATGTGTTACTTTCCGTATAGATAGTAACAAATTTATTTTATATTTTGAACATTAATGAATACACTGTGGAAATTTCAAGTCCATTGATCTCACCGTTTCTGTTAAAAGAATTCTGTTAAAAATAGCCTTGGAAACGGCCTTCCGTGTGCAATTCCCTCCTGAAGGAGGAATATTACTAATGACGGGCCCAAAAAAGGTCCTTTTCCACGAATCTTTTTTTACTACTTATTTTCTTAATCTGCATAAATGTTTTTACTTTGAAAATTATTCTTCAAGACCCCTTGAATGAAGAAAAAGTTTTGGAAAAATCGAGGTTTTTTTTAACATACCGCTATTTTGAGAAAATTAATTAAAAAAAAAACGGCTCCGCTTAACGAAAACTGCATTTATGCAGAATAAGAAAATATTTGATTTGTTTTTTTCAGATGAACCATGCCAGAAATATCGAGCCCACCGTTGGAAGAAGAATTTTTTACGGATCGGCACTCTGTTGTATATATATCTTTGTTAATTTTTATTATTTTTTAATAAAAATTTGTGTAAAACTACTTCCAAAAGTGTCCTTAATAACATACTCTTCCCCCAATCCTTAAATAATTCATTAGGTAGTAAAAAAAGAAATTCGTGAAAAAGGGCTTTTTTTGGGCCCGTCACAGTGGTATTCTCCCTTAAGAGAGGTCGACGCGCATTCCCGAGCAATGCGAGGCCGCGGCCATCGTTCGGCAGTCATCGTAAGCGTGACGACCGCGGGAACACGTTTCAGGTGAGATAATCAGTAGGTGGGTAAATCCACTTAACACTCGCCCTGCCCCGCCGAACGCAAGCAAGGAGCACCATATCGGACTTGGGAGTTCAGCTGCTATCCTACCCACGCCAAGTTATTATTATCACTCGTCGGAGAAGAGATACTCTCTCTCTCTCTCTCTCTCTCTCTCTCTCTCTCTCGACGCGTGGATCGGCCGTAACAGAGCGACGATAAGGGGGAACCGTTTGCGTTCCGTCGTTGCGTGCTACGTGTCGCATAATTACCCGCGAGAGTAGTCGCACAATCAGCGTACTCCCTCTCTCCTCCTCTCTCGCTCGCTTGCATACACACACACACACACACACACACACACACACGCTCGCCATTACGGTGCATCGCGATCGACATTAGATGTAGCTCGCAACTTGACTTTCTCCATTGTCCCAGCCGGTAATGCGTCCTCTCGCTCTCTATCCTCTCCCCCTCTCTCTTTCTCGGCGGTTTTGCAGCCGCCCCTAGATAAGGATTGCGTAAGGCGAAATTGCTCGCGCGCGAACAATGAGATCGCGCGTCGGCGCGATTATCGCGGCGAGTGAATTACCGGGACGAGTGTATCGCGGCGGAGGATCGATCGAAAGTTCGAATGGCCGGTGCCATCGAGTACCACCCTCTCTCTCTCTCTCTGTCTCGCGCGCGCGCGGATGAGTAGACGGGCTAATTAGACGATTGAACGTTACTCGAGAAGCAAAAGCGCTTCTAACGAGCGCCGCTGACCGCGATACACCGATTGCGGTTACGCGGGAAACGATCGGCGCACGCTAACGAGACCGTTCTCCGGAGTACTCGTGCCGCCGCTGGAAACGATGCCCATCGTCGAACGGATTATTAATGAGCGAGATAACGATGCCGCCGATGGATCGGCAATGAACGACGGCCGCGCGCGGAGGAAGCTTCTCAAATGGTGGGCCATCAAGCTCGAGCGGGGCGCGGCGGTCTCTAGGCAAAAGTGCTGGGCGCTCTACTTAACTTTATCGTCGGTGTCGAAGGATATCATACGTCGCGCTCGTTGTAATCGTTAGATCGTGATTAAGGAAGCCCGAGCAACGTCGGTTTCGGCCGGAGGGCTGGAGGGAGCTCAGCTTCTCCCTGAGAGCGGAAAGCGTCTCGGGAAACGTTCTTCGTCGCTGACAAATTGCGAGAATAAAACTCTTCGGAAACTCGTAATCTGATTAGAGGAGCAAGAGAGAAAGAGGGGGAGGAATCTGTAGTCGGATCTTATATGTTTTGAAGATCATCTCTCGGGTCCGCCTTCGGGTGAACCGAAGGCGACCTCGCATACAAGAATATCCCAGGCGAGTTCTCTCGGCTTGACAAGCTCTCAGCTTGGTAATCGATCGATCCTCCGGAACCAAATTCCTTTTCACAATTTTACCCCCCCTCGACCGAAACGCGATGGCTTTGTTTATCGTCACGCTGATGCATAATTGCCGATCGATATTCTTCGTCTCTGTGGGTCCCGAAGGTTTCACCGCCACAGGCGAGTTCGTTCTCGAGGCGAGTCCTCGTGGATTCTCGAGGGTGAGCGCGAGGGGCCACCCTTGGCGCCGGTAATAATAAGTGTCGCGCGGCGCAAGGCTGGCCCTTTCGGTCCGAGCGGCGTTATTAATGGAGGAACGAAATAAATTTCGACCCGGGGCTTATATTATAATCCTCCGTAGCTGTGTGTACGCTCGCTCCTATTCCGCCTCCTCGGCTCTTCGACGACTCGCGTCGTCCCTTCCCACCCCTTCCCCTCACCTTCCTGTCCTCACCCCCCTCACCCCGCGCTCGCGCGCGCGCACACGACACGCTGGATTATCGTACGCCACGTCGAGGTCGTCGAATTACTCCACGCTCGACGCGTCGCCCGAGCGTGGTTTTTCAGCCCGCTTCTCACGACCGAGACTCCGCGCGCGGAGATTACTCTTGTGCTTCTGCGACGAGCGTGAAAATTCGCCGGTTATCGCGCCGTGAGCGGCCAGCGCGCACGCGTTCGTTCGACCGATCGCGCGGCCGCGAATTTAATACGACGTTATTAATACGACCCGCTTCTCCTCCTCACGCCGATGTACGAGTGCCTCCTCTGTTTCTTTATTTGTCTCTCCCTCTCCTCCCTTCTCTCGTTATCTATCTATCTATCTATCTATCTATCTATCTATCTATCTATCTATCTCGGCCTCTCGTTCCGCCGCTGTGTGTCGCGGCACTCGGAATCGGACGTATTTTCTTAAGATCAATAGCCCGCGCCCGCTGTCCTCTACAGAAAATGTATCGCGCTCCAATCCATTAATTTAGATCCCGCTCGTGACCGCAGACGAGATCGTGCGGTTGCACCAAGAGTCATGGTTCGAGCGCCGGCAACTCGAACGTCGAACAAAGTTGCCCGCGAGGGACCGCAATACTCTTCTCTCCGTACCGTTCCGATACAATATTTACTCGGATCCGGGGTGCGAGGGTGGCTTCAAAATAGTTGCATATTTTAGAGAGGAAAGAAAGAGAGAGAGAGAGAGAGAGAGAGAGGGAGGGAGAACGAGCGCAACTCGGATTTACGGATTACGCCTCGCAAGGGCGATTTATCGCGCATCGCGCGCGGATAATCGAAATTTATTTCGCCTGCGCGCCGAATATAACGAATATATAATGTATTTATATTGCTGTCGCTCCCCCCTTCAGCCTCCAGCGCAACGAATCTGTCGTAAAATGTTATTTTATCTCGGGATACGCGCGAGTCGCAAATTCTACTCTCCGCGGGATCGCGCGACGAGCGATTTCAGATTTTCCAGGCGGAATCGGACGATCGTCGATCTCCGCGTCGTCGTAATCCTGCGAAACGACACACACGTCGCAATCCTTTCACACATTGTCTCATAGACACCACCGCGACGTCTCAGAAGCGCGATCGTCTCGCACTTTACCAGGTGAGGCTCAAATCCAAGTAGAAAAATTAATAGGACTCTGGTAAGGGTCTGATTATTTTTCTCTAATATTAATCAGGCCCTAGTAGTAGGGATAGAAAGACAAGGGCCCTACAAGATGTATAACAAGTGATTTAACGGTCTTTACAAGGTAATATTATGAGGGCCTGATAGGGCAGGATCAACAGGGCCTTATAAAGCAATATTAATAGGGCCTTATAAGGAAATATTTTTATTATCGCTTGAGTAAAAATATTCGTTCTTTTCATTCCAAGAGATTTAGGCTGTAATTTCTTTATTCCTTTATAATCTTATTAGTATACAAGAATTTTTTATTTTAAAAATATAGCATATTTTACGATAAAACATAGCATTCTTTACACATAAAAATCCTGCTACCGTTTTTTTTTTATTAAAGTTTGCTGCATTTCAAAACAAAGGCAATACTAGAAAAATCCTTGGAAAAAATTAATGAATATGGCAACTAATAAAACTAATAAAATTTGTTTTTAATTGCGGTATAATTAAAAAATCTTTAAAAGAAACAGATAGAGCATACTTATTAAAACAATATTAAACTATGACAATTTTATCGCATGCTTCAGATCATATTAATTTACTATAACAAAACTTGATTTTGCATATCTAAAGCATCCTTTTAAAATATCCTTCTGAGGCCCACATCAGTTTTCCATGTTAAAACGTTATTTCGGAAAATCTAAGGCATCCCTTAAAAATCCTTCTAAGACCCTCATCAGTTTTCCTTATCGAAGCCTTATTTCGTAAAATCTAAAATATCCCTAAAAGATCCATCTCGATGTCTGATGTAGTAATAATGAAGCATCCCTTTTTAAGGCATCCTGCCTTATGCTTTATAAGGATGGCCCTAACAATTTTTTGCTCGAGAAGTCGCTCGTCGCACCGCGTGAAATGACGCACGCGGAGAAATCATTCTCGATTCAGCGAACGGTTAAATCCAATTAATTAATCCCGAGCTCTCGAAGATAGCGGATTTTTTGCCGACGCGTTTAAATCTGTAGATCTCAACGTGCGGGTCGGGTGACGGGGAGCGGGGAGCGGTGAGCCGAGTTTGACACTCGCAGGAAGATTCGCGAGCGTCTAATCTTCGCGTTTTCGATTAATGTTTCATTAAGTTCTGTTGATCTTCGGAATTCCCTTCGGTAGCTTTAGGATCTGTCACGACGCGGCGATGCCGCGGAGTACCTTGTTTCCCTTGAAAGATCGTCATTCCGGCGCTCTCCTGCGCGATTCTCGCCGAGTGTTTACGCAGGAAGGCGAAATCGAAGAGAGATGCAGAATCGAAGACGGGCGGAAAGGGACGGGGGAGCGAGGGGAGGGAGTGTTGGCGTGTCGGGATGCTTTAAGCTGGCAGCTTCGCGTGAAATTCGAAGTCGGAGGAATCCTGCCGCCGCGGATGCGAGCTCGGGGATCACGGAATTAACCGATTCGTCGCTTACGCTCGATTTAACGCGCGTTTAACGCGCGGCAACTCTTTTTTCCTTCCTCGCGAGGGCCGATGCAATTTTTGCTCTCCCTTTCCTCCACACAAAATTAATCTCGTTCACGTACTCAGGAACGGAAAAATGTGTCTTGGCGGTTTAAATTGATACCCGGTGGAGTATTTTGCCCCGGCAACGTATCGCGAACAATGCGTACGAATGGGGATGGAAATGCTGAAGTTTGCAACGCAAAATTCCACAAATAACTGAAGAATACGCTTTCAATTATTCGCCTGATAACCCGCCGATGTTCCG